CTGAGTGCAAAAATGGAGGCTCTAGCCCCTTCCAGAGCTGAGATATCGAAACTCAAAAATTCGGCCCGAAAAAAAAACGACAGTGGTACCCCTTACGTTTTTTTTTTTTGGGCGAAAAATTAAGTTTCTCCAATCTTCCCAAAACTCTGGATTCTGATAGAGGGCCATGAGACTTAGACCTGAGTGCAAAAATGGAGGCTCTAGCCCCTTCCAGAGCTGAGATATCGAAACTCAAAAATTCGGCCCGAAAAAAAAAACGACAGTGGTACCCCTTACGTTTTTTTTTTTGGGCGAAAAATTAAGTTTCTCCAATCTTCCCAAAACTCTGGATTCTGATAGAGGGCCATGAGACTTAGACCTGAGTGCAAAAATGGAGGCTCTAGCCCCTTCCAGAGCTGAGATATCGAAACTCAAAAATTCGGCCCGAAAAAAAAACGACAGTGGTACCCCTTACGTTTTTTTTTTGGGCGAAAAATTAAGTTTCTCCAATCTTCCCAAAACTCTGGATTCTGATAGAGGGCCATGAGACTTAGACCTGAGTGCAAAAATGGAGGCTCTAGCCCCTTCCAGAGCTGAGATATCGAAACTCAAAAATTCGGCCCGAAAAAAAAAACGACAGTGGTACCCCTTACGTTTTTTTTTTTTGGGCGAAAAATTAAGTTTCTCCAATCTTCCCAAAACTCTGGATTCTGATAGAGGGCCATGAGACTTAGACCTGAGTGCAAAAATGGAGGCTCTAGCCCCTTCCAGAGCTGAGATATCGAAACTCAAAAATTCGGCCCGAAAAAAAAACGACAGTGGTACCCCTTACGTTTTTTTTTTTGGGCGAAAAATTAAGTTTCTCCAATCTTCCCAAAACTCTGGATTCTGATAGAGGGCCATGAGACTTAGACCTGAGTGCAAAAATGGAGGCTCTAGCCCCTTCCAGAGCTGAGATATCGAAACTCAAAAATTCGGCCCGAAAAAAAAACGACAGTGGTACCCCTTACGTTTTTTTTTTTTGGGCGAAAAATTAAGTTTCTCCAATCTTCCCAAAACTCTGGATTCTGATAGAGGGCCATGAGACTTAGACCTGAGTGCAAAAATGGAGGCTCTAGCCCCTTCCAGAGCTGAGATATCGAAACTCAAAAATTCGGCCCGAAAAAAAAAACGACAGTGGTACCCCTTACGTTTTTTTTTTTTGGGCGAAAAATTAAGTTTCTCCAATCTTCCCAAAACTCTGGATTCTGATAGAGGGCCATGAGACTTAGACCTGAGTGCAAAAATGGAGGCTCTAGCCCCTTCCAGAGCTGAGATATCGAAACTCAAAAATTCGGCCCGAAAAAAAAACGACAGTGGTACCCCTTACGTTTTTTTTTTTGGGCGAAAAATTAAGTTTCTCCAATCTTCCCAAAACTCTGGATTCTGATAGAGGGCCATGAGACTTAGACCTGAGTGCAAAAATGGAGGCTCTAGCCCCTTCCAGAGCTGAGATATCGAAACTCAAAAATTCGGCCCGAAAAAAAAAACGACAGTGGTACCCCTTACGTTTTTTTTTTTTGGGCGAAAAATTAAGTTTCTCCAATCTTCCCAAAACTCTGGATTCTGATAGAGGGCCATGAGACTTAGACCTGAGTGCAAAAATGGAGGCTCTAGCCCCTTCCAGAGCTGAGATATCGAAACTCAAAAATTCGGCCCGAAAAAAAAAACGACAGTGGTACCCCTTACGTTTTTTTTTTTGGGCGAAAAATTAAGTTTCTCCAATCTTCCCAAAACTCTGGATTCTGATAGAGGGCCATGAGACTTAGACCTGAGTGCAAAAATGGAGGCTCTAGCCCCTTCCAGAGCTGAGATATCGAAACTCAAAAATTCGGCCCGAAAAAAAAACGACAGTGGTACCCCTTACGTTTTTTTTTTTTGGGCGAAAAATTAAGTTTCTCCAATCTTCCCAAAACTCTGGATTCTGATAGAGGGCCATGAGACTTAGACCTGAGTGCAAAAATGGAGGCTCTAGCCCCTTCCAGAGCTGAGATATCGAAACTCAAAAATTCGGCCCGAAAAAAAAAACGACAGTGGTACCCCTTACGTTTTTTTTTTTGGGCGAAAAATTAAGTTTCTCCAATCTTCCCAAAACTCTGGATTCTGATAGAGGGCCATGAGACTTAGACCTGAGTGCAAAAATGGAGGCTCTAGCCCCTTCCAGAGCTGAGATATCGAAACTCAAAAATTCGGCCCGAAAAAAAAAACGACAGGGGTACCCCTTACGTTTTTTTTTTGGGCGAAAAATTAAGTTTCTCAAAACTTCCCAAAACTCTGGATTCTGATAGAGGGCCACGAGACTTAGACCTGAGTGCAAAAATGGAGGCTCTAGCCCCTTCCAGAGCTGAGATATCGAAACTCAAAAATTCGGCCCGAAAAAAAAACGACAGTGGTACCCCTTACGTTTTTTTTTTTTGGGCGAAAAATTAAGTTTCTCCAATCTTCCCAAAACTCTGGATTCTGATAGAGGGCCATGAGACTTAGACCTGAGTGCAAAAATGGAGGCTCTAGCCCCTTCCAGAGCTGAGATATCGAAACTCAAAAATTCGGCCCGAAAAAAAAACGACAGTGGTACCCCTTACGTTTTTTTTTTTGGGCGAAAAATTAAGTTTCTCCAATCTTCCCAAAACTCTGGATTCTGATAGAGGGCCATGAGACTTAGACCTGAGTGCAAAAATGGAGGCTCTAGCCCCTTCCAGAGCTGAGATATCGAAACTCAAAAATTCGGCCCGAAAAAAAAACGACAGTGGTACCCCTTACGTTTTTTTTTTTGGGCGAAAAATTAAGTTTCTCCAATCTTCCCAAAACTCTGGATTCTGATAGAGGGCCATGAGACTTAGACCTGAGTGCAAAAATGGAGGCTCTAGCCCCTTCCAGAGCTGAGATATCGAAACTCAAAAATTCGGCCCGAAAAAAAAACGACAGTGGTACCCCTTACGTTTTTTTTTTTTGGGCGAAAAATTAAGTTTCTCCAATCTTCCCAAAACTCTGGATTCTGATAGAGGGCCATGAGACTTAGACCTGAGTGCAAAAATGGAGGCTCTAGCCCCTTCCAGAGCTGAGATATCGAAACTCAAAAATTCGGCCCGAAAAAAAAACGACAGTGGTACCCCTTACGTTTTTTTTTTTTGGGCGAAAAATTAAGTTTCTCCAATCTTCCCAAAACTCTGGATTCTGATAGAGGGCCATGAGACTTAGACCTGAGTGCAAAAATGGAGGCTCTAGCCCCTTCCAGAGCTGAGATATCGAAACTCAAAAATTCGGCCCGAAAAAAAAAACGACAGTGGTACCCCTTACGTTTTTTTTTTTTGGGCGAAAAATTAAGTTTCTCCAATCTTCCCAAAACTCTGGATTCTGATAGAGGGCCATGAGACTTAGACCTGAGTGCAAAAATGGAGGCTCTAGCCCCTTCCAGAGCTGAGATATCGAAACTCAAAAATTCGGCCCGAAAAAAAAACGACAGTGGTACCCCTTACGTTTTTTTTTTTTGGGCGAAAAATTAAGTTTCTCCAATCTTCCCAAAACTCTGGATTCTGATAGAGGGCCATGAGACTTAGACCTGAGTGCAAAAATGGAGGCTCTAGCCCCTTCCAGAGCTGAGATATCGAAACTCAAAAATTCGGCCCGAAAAAAAAACGACAGTGGTACCCCTTACGTTTTTTTTTTTGGGCGAAAAATTAAGTTTCTCCAATCTTCCCAAAACTCTGGATTCTGATAGAGGGCCATGAGACTTAGACCTGAGTGCAAAAATGGAGGCTCTAGCCCCTTCCAGAGCTGAGATATCGAAACTCAAAAATTCGGCCCGAAAAAAAAAACGACAGTGGTACCCCTTACGTTTTTTTTTTTGGGCGAAAAATTAAGTTTCTCCAATCTTCCCAAAACTCTGGATTCTGATAGAGGGCCATGAGACTTAGACCTGAGTGCAAAAATGGAGGCTCTAGCCCCTTCCAGAGCTGAGATATCGAAACTCAAAAATTCGGCCCGAAAAAAAAACGACAGTGGTACCCCTTACGTTTTTTTTTTTTGGGCGAAAAATTAAGTTTCTCCAATCTTCCCAAAACTCTGGATTCTGATAGAGGGCCATGAGACTTAGACCTGAGTGCAAAAATGGAGGCTCTAGCCCCTTCCAGAGCTGAGATATCGAAACTCAAAAATTCGGCCCGAAAAAAAAAACGACAGTGGTACCCCTTACGTTTTTTTTTTTTGGGCGAAAAATTAAGTTTCTCCAATCTTCCCAAAACTCTGGATTCTGATAGAGGGCCATGAGACTTAGACCTGAGTGCAAAAATGGAGGCTCTAGCCCCTTCCAGAGCTGAGATATCGAAACTCAAAAATTCGGCCCGAAAAAAAAACGACAGTGGTACCCCTTACGTTTTTTTTTTTTTGGGCGAAAAATTAAGTTTCTCCAATCTTCCCAAAACTCTGGATTCTGATAGAGGGCCATGAGACTTAGACCTGAGTGCAAAAATGGAGGCTCTAGCCCCTTCCAGAGCTGAGATATCGAAACTCAAAAATTCGGCCCGAAAAAAAAACGACAGTGGTACCCCTTACGTTTTTTTTTTTTGGGGCGAAAAATTAAGTTTCTCCAATCTTCCCAAAACTCTGGATTCTGATAGAGGGCCATGAGACTTAGACCTGAGTGCAAAAATGGAGGCTCTAGCCCCTTCCAGAGCTGAGATATCGAAACTCAAAAATTCGGCCCGAAAAAAAAAACGACAGTGGTACCCCTTACGTTTTTTTTTTTTGGGCGAAAAATTAAGTTTCTCCAATCTTCCCAAAACTCTGGATTCTGATAGAGGGCCATGACACTTAGACCTGAGTGCAAAAATGGAGGCTCTAGACCCATCCAGAGCTGAGATATTGAGATATTTATAATGCCATAAATGCTACGTGGGATCTGAATATCTCGGCTCTGGAAGGGTCTAGAGCCTCCAATCTGTTACAGAGACAGGAGAACACTTGTGTGTTTATCCGCTGGAGAGAGGCTCATGATGCTGAATGCTATCATCAACGGATTTGAGTGAGTGTACTACAGAAATGGATAACAAAATCTATTAAATCTTAGGTTGTAGTTTATTTGAATGATTGTAATTTCAAATGGAGAAAATACAACACTTTTCTGATTCCTGATTTCTGTGCATTTGCTGCAGAGCTTTTGTGGTGGAGCAGGACCTGCAAGGAAAGATGATGGCAGCATTTGTTGGGGAAAAAAGGTTTTAGGGAAACAAATGACATTGTGCTATTAAAATAACTGCTTTTGTGTACTGTTTGTGCATTTTTGTAGGATCTGAAATGTCTGCAGACTGGTGTGAGCACTGAGGATGAGGAGCCCAGAGCTGAATCCTGGAAGTGGTGCCATGGATGAGTCCCTCCATCTCTTCACCTGCCCTTACGAGAACCTCTATCGCTCCATCTGCCCTTATTGCCTCGGATTGTGAAGCGCTTGCAGTAGGATGTGGTGTTCAGCGCCTGTAAATACATGCTTGTAGTTTGAATAAAGCTTTGCTTTATGTGTTGTTGACTTGTGCATTTGTTTGTGATGGTTACTTTTATTTGTTCTTTTACTCATTTATTCATGTTTCTTATTGCTGTCAGTATATAAAATAAAATTATTTAATTAATTTATGCATTAATTCATTGATTGACCGACAATTGATATGTTTCACTCGCTGCATTTAGCAATATAAATGTATTCATGGATAACTGTCATATGACAAAACAAATTACATTTTGTTGGTTTTATTAAATTATTTTTTTAGTATATAAAAGTTATATAATTAAGTATTGGTCAGTATTTAATATTATTATTTTCTTTAAGTTTTGGGGTGGGCTAACGATGCAATTCATTCTGAGGTAATATTAATTTTTTAAGGAGTGATACTTACATTTTTTCGAGTATAAAATCAACAGTTTTCTCCAAAAGAGATCTTCGAGCAGCTGCCCATCTCCTTTATACAGGCATAGCAAACGCAGAGGAAAACTGTTCTAGGTTGTGCTGTCGAGTTACTGATGTTAAGAAGTGTTAACTTGTATGTAAACTTACATACAAGATCATGGAAAGATACCATGGTTGTATGTAACAATCATGACAAAACAGAAAATATATAGATCACTGGTTTGTGTACATCATAATATGACACCATAAATTATATTAAAAAAAAACACAGGAAAAAATAACAATAACAAGGCTAAATATCTTCATAATAGTTCATAATACATAAAAAAAATGTTTGTTTGTTTTTGTTGTTGTTATACGTCTGAGGGATGAAACGAGGTAAATTCAACAAGAAAAAGAAGAAAACAAAGGACAACATTTTGGGGATTTCTTAATAAAAAAATATTGTTATAAGAATAACACTGTTGGTCACATTAGTAGATTATAAAATATAACAACTTAAATCAACCCTAAATGTATTCACAAAATAAATGAGCAGCTGTTTCTTCAGTTTCGTGCAGAGACCATTTTTAGGTTGAAACAATTAGGCTAGGTGATTATTTAACTCACAACAGTTAACTTTATAGCAGTTAAAAAGAAGTTGGTACTTAACCGAACTTTTACCCCCGCATAACTTGAGACAGGGAAGTTCAAGGATTTAATTCATTACTTATATTACTCTCCACATTAAGTGTGATAGGTAAGAATAAAGTGATATCAGTTCATAAAGTTATAATAACATTAGACCGTTCCCCGGGAGGCACACAGAACGTTACTTACAAAAATAGTTATCAATGAAATAAATTAATTCAGCAAATAAATGTTGTACTAAAATGTAAATGTTTGACAATAAATATATAACAGCAATAGAATAGCTTCACAGTAAACAGTTTTTTGTTTGTTTTTTGTTTTTTTGCAGTAGGCTACTAGCCTAATGACCGTTAAAGCAAGACTATGTAAACAAACAAAAAATACATGCTGTGTCCGAAATCTCCACTCAAACCCCTACTCCCTACCCCCTATATAAGGGGTAAAGAGCTCACCAGCATAGTGGGCTCTATGCACGGCGGTATTTCCGGTGAAGGTGTATGCTCGATAACTTCCGCCGATCGTAGAGTCCAATGCAATACCGAGAATTTATATTTAATTTTATACTCCATGGTTATACTAAAGAAACGTTTAGTCACAAAAACAGATAAAACAGACACCCCTCGTTGTGTTTATGCTTCTTTTTAAAATTAGAGACGGGAGGACAGTAAATTTTGAAGACTCTGCCATAATCCCGTTTTGCCCGGTATTCCTCCGCTTTAATCTCCACAACCGGAAATGGACGAGCATCCTTGCGTCAAATGCGGAACTTATGCGTGCATAATATATAGGGTATAATAATAATCATCACTATACATTCGGACAGCACTACAAAATGGCGAGCTCACTATATAGTCCACTATATAGTGAGTAAAGGGTGATTTCGGACGCAGCAACAGCCAATCAATGATCATCATGTTTGTAGCATGATCCAGGGGATTAAAACCATATCTATGATTAAAACGTCCGAAATATATTTCAGGCTTAGTGGAGTTGGTAACTAATAATAGTAGTAAAAGTGTAAAGTTGCATACAATGGAAATACTCACTAATGCAAGAAAAAAAAAAACTACCTCAAAAAACTGTTATCTGTGCTGTAAGTTGTCCAGTAACTCCAGTTGGAATTTTCACCCCGATATGGTGGCCGCGCTACCGAAGCGCCATCTAGTGACTGTTACCAAAAAAGCATCAGAGTTTCACCTCTTGTTCTTCTATACTCTTTGTTGAAATTAAGTACCTACCTACCTAGTATGCGATTCCGAACGCAGCCAGTGATTTGGCGGCGGTTTACTTCGGCGAGCACGCGCCGTCTCCCTCGTGTGCAACCCAATATTCCCGTTTATGGTTCAAACGAATAAAATGGCGGCCCCTAATGGTCATTATGATGATGCGCTTTAACGTTAGATGTACTGTACATGGTGTTTTGAATTTTGCATGAACTGTAGAAAAGTACAAACTAGGGTAATTTTTTAGAATCAACAAACAAAAAACACTACCTTCATTTTCATATTAATTCCATAACACCTTAATCTGAGAAAAAAAAGATGATTCCTTAAACCTTTACAAAACCGTATGTTGCCTTGACATGGCAAAAAAATTTTTTATAAGAATATTAATTGCTGTATGTTAACCTTTACCTAAGTTTTTGCCAGTTAACTAGTGAAAAGAGGTATTTCTTTTCCTATATGATTTCCTGACAAGTAGTCAGGAAGCAAATTTGTTTAGTTTCAGATTTTGTTCTGATTCTCACTTAAAATGTTTGTGCCCCAGAAAGGTCTAGAGATATATGAGGTTCAGTCAGACACAAAGTAATTTTTGCTTTACTTTTTATGACATCATAAACATTATATTGGTGACAGTGACTAGTCTGTGATTCGATGAGTTACAAACTGAGATTATGACGAACATGAAATCTTATTCCACAGAAAACAGTGCAACCTAAGAAAAAAAAATTAAAAAATGACAGAGATGAGAGAGAAATATAAAAGAAACATTTGCCACACACCTTTGACATAATATGTGTTTCCATTCAATGAACTATTGAGTTGGATTTCTTCAACGTCATAAATGTGAAAGACTTAAACATTATACTCTGGTTCACCATAGTATTCTGCTATGAAAACGGTCAGATTTATCACACAGCAGATTACATGACCTGAACACATCTCTGTGCAATTTAAGAACAAATTAAAAGGAACAACCTATCCTTCCCCACCCCCAAATCTCACCACTTTTATCAAGTTCTTATTCGCACATTCCCCTGATCACAATTTCAACACACTTCGACACCCAGAGGCTGAGAAGTCACGGGTCTTTCTGCCGAAGGTGAATGCGTCTGGGAGTGTGGATGCTGGATCCACGGGTGACCGAGAGTGAGGGCGGACTGGCGGGGACTCGGATTTGGGGGGAAACGGTTTTGGAGGAGTGGGCAAAGCAGAAACATGGGAAACACACCCATGCCGTATCAGTCCACTGGCCGCTTCTCGCCGTGTTTCTTTGTAAACTCTTCTGCATTCTTAAAGAACTTTTTACGGTCTTTTGAATATTCCTCCGCTAGGTCAGCCCTCAGAGGGTGTTCTGGTTGGGGGTCATTGACGAGGGCGATGAGGGACTGGATTACTGGTGAAAGAGAGCAAAAAATATATTTAATGACAATACGATGAGCAGGGGTGGACGATATACCGGTAGCTACGATGAGTTTCGACCATCATCTCATATCTCGTGACATTGCTGTACTGCGTGCCACGGTCATGAAAGTTCGCAAGCATTTTTAAAATGGTTCAAGTGCAGTAAGCAGCGAAAGACGACTGATTTCAGTACATGCGTGTGCTGTCAGAGAGACTGTTTCTCAGCACAGAGAGATGCGCACACATGAAGACATAGCTCATAAAGCGCTTGAGAACTGAACAGTGCTTTTTTAACAGTTAAAGGGATAGTTCACTTTGGAATTAAGATGTAGGTGTCTTTGTTTCCGCAGTAGTTTCAATTTTGATATTTTTAGGTCAAACCGTTCTTGTCTGTCAGTCATATAATGGAGGTCTATGGTCACCACCTCAAAGGGCATGCACAGAGACGTCCAAATTAAACATGATTTAATGACTCGTAAATGTAAGTACACCTTGATGGCCTAAGACACGAAACGAGCGGTTTGTGTGAGAAAACGAACAGTATTTATATCGTTTTTACCTGTTGTAACCACAGCCACGTCCAACTGATCTGAGGCCGCGGGCGATTTGGTCTGCGCAAGCCCCGGAAGTGATCTCTCGCGCGTGTACGTCACTCATTGTTTACACAGAGATATCAGAAGTGTTATCCTTCACTGTGAAGATCTAAACATATTTAGATATACAGGAAATCGCAATGGAAGACGATTTTGATATATCAACAGACAACGTTGATTTTTTTCGCAACCGCGCGAGAGATCACTTCCGGCGCTTTTCAGCGCTTGCGCAGACCGAAGTGCCTGCAGATCATTTGGACGGACGTGGCTGTGGTTACAAGAGATATAAATACTGTTGGTTTTCTCACAAAAACCGCTCGTTTCGTGTCTTAGGCCATCAATGTGTACTTACATTTACGAGTCATTAAATCACGTTTAATTTGGACTTCTCTGTGCATGCTCTTTGAGGTGGTGACCATAGACCTCCATTATAAAAATATCAAAATTGAAAATACTGCGGAAACAAAGACACCTACATCTTGGATGCCCTTGAGGTAAGATAAAACATACCAAAAATTTAATTTCAAAGTGAACTATCCCTTTAAATCCATCTCTCAGCGCTCATGACTGAGTCACTTTTGAAACTTTAATAAGGATACGTTTATTTTTAATTTACAGTGAAGACTATGCAGTTTTTCATAAACATTTGATACAATTTATGTAGTATTTCTTATTTAAGTTTTACATCTGTGTTCTATTGTAGTTTATTTTCCTATATTAATTCCTTTCTTTATTACTGTTAACTTGTCTTCAGTAAGCTTGAGTTTTTTTTA